CGGGTCGGGGTGCCGGGCACCGCCGTCAGCCCCTTGCTGGCTCCTAAAATCACGTCGGCGTCGGCGAGAGCCGGTCTGGTCCAGAGGGGCCGATCCACGGGGGAGTTTAAGTTCGGCTCAGCCGGTGAACTCGCCCGGAGATGGCACATTTCTCGGCTGGGACCATTGAACTTCGCTGTTGTGTTTGCTTGCAACGTGTGACCGACTTACCATCACAGCGCTGCTGTTCTGCAATGAAATTCGTATTTCACTTTTAAAGCAGGCTTCTTTTGGGTGACTGTCCCGTTCAGCGTCCCTGCGTTCAGTGAAAGCGGGGCATGAAATCGTGTACGACTTCGTGCGCTCCCTCTGAGGCTGTGCTGGGGTTCGGACAGATAGAGGAGCTGCTCTGTTCCACAAGTGCCTGTTTCACACCCACGGTCGCTAAAAGTCCTGGGGAATCTGGTTGAATTACTCAAGGGACCTCTTTAGTGTGTGCTGTTAGAAATATCTTCCACATTGGAAAACAATTCAGTAATAACAGAACTAAAATATCAACAGTTTTGTACTGGAGGGGTTATTTATTTCCCTGCCTGCTTTCTGCTCTTTTGGGGAAATTAGCTCCTCTTTCCTAAGAGCCGTTATTGGGTAATTCCTGTAGTTTTAACAATGTACTAATGTTTTCTGATTACAGCAGCAATCCATCAATGGGGCCTTTAAAGTTACATCTTAAAATTCCAAAGACTAATTTGACTGAAATGTTAGTGGAATTTTATCAGTGTAGACTAAATGAAATGCGATTTTCCTTTTACAGGGGCTGCTCCATCACTTTAATGTGTTTTTTTCTAAAAACCTTTAAAGTTACATCTTAAAATTCCAAAGACTAATTTGACTGAAATGTTAGTGGAATTTTATCAGTGTAGACTAAATGAAATGCGATTTTCCTTTTACAGGGGCTGCTCCATCACTTTAATGTGTTTTTTTCTAAAAATAAAAAAAGGCTTAACTTGTTGGATGAATAAGATTGAAGAGGAGTTAGGTTTCGGCAAGCATTTGTTATTTCTAGAAGAGCATGTGAAGTTTGTCAAATGAATTCAGTAATCCCAGAAGACCGCAATCAGTATTGTATTCCTTAGTAACTTTTTTTTAAAGAAACGATATATACATCTTATTTTAGTATTGGGACTGTTCAGTAAAAAGTGCAGCACTGAATCGGCTCTAATCTCCAGGGCTCCTAACAGAGACATGATTGCATTTTACATTGGATTCGCTTTCTAGTATTTGACTGGAAAATGCGGCTCTTTTCAGGACTCTGGTTTTCAAAAGGAGACTTCTGCGTGTCTGAGTCAGCAGAACTTTCTGTGCTTACTTGACTTTAATCCCTTGCATGATCTCAACACAGTTCCACGCAGAGTTCCCGTCAGGTCAGAGCGAACCAGGTGACGATAATGGTGATGGCATCTCATGAAGAGTTTGGGGGATTTCAGGATCTGGAACACTCCCTTGAGAGACGCTGGCCAGCTGAGGCTTTGGGAAATGCAACACCCCTAATAGGCTGCAGATCTGTTGCCTTGATATGGGGCAAGTGTGATTTTTGAAGGGTCCTGTGATAGGTCTGGGGTAGGGATCCTGACCTGGTGCAAACCAGTGGTGTTTGTCACTCAGAGGAAGCCCGTTTGCGAGGATGGTGAACACCCTTGGCAGGTTTGCCCCTTAAGGTTCACAAAAGAGGTGAATTAAAGTGATATTCATGTTCTCTAAAATCTGGTTATTTTCTAGCCACATAGTTGTCTCCCTGGGTCCAGCCTTCATTTTTGTGCCATTTCTTTCCCTTATTATTTTTCAGTTTACAGGTTTTCGTTTCCTCTTCAGTTCTGTGAAAAACTCACACTAGCAGAGGAAAGGTCATTACCATATACAGAAAAGAAGCAAGCTAAAAATTGCTTCTTTTTTTTTTTATCCCAAAGGAAAGCAAACAGAGGCCAATTACTTGAATTTTAGAAGTTACTAGTTACAATGATAGGTAAACAATTTGCAGACGAAAATGTCATCTTTAAAGTGATGGTTGCCTTGAGGTTATTTGGAGTTCTCGTTGTCTGGTGTCATTTGGTTTCTATATAATAATGAAGAAAAATGCTAGAAAAGGCAGCAGTGCTATGAGTGTCCCCTGGGAGCAGGCAGATCCTTTTCTCTGTCTTTAGCAGGATTCGGCAGGTCGCCTTTCCTGGGCCACCCACAGTCCATTACGTGTAACGTGCTGAATTAATCCTTGCTACACAGCGCTGCTGTTCTGCAATGAAATTCGTATTTCACTTTTAAAGCAAGCTTCTTTTGGGTGACTGTCCCGTTCAGCGTCCCTGCGTTCAGTGAAAGCGGGGCATGAAATCGTGTACGACTTCGTGCGCTCCCTCTGAGGCTGTGCTGGGGTTCGGACAGATAGAGGAGCTGCTCTGTTCCACAAGTGCCTGTTTCACACCCACGGTCGCTAAAAGTCCTGGGGAATCTGGTTGAATTACTCAAGGGACCTCTTTAGTGTGTGCTGTTAGAAATATCTTCCACATTGGAAAACAATTCAGTAATAACAGAACTAAAATATCAACAGTTTTGTACTGGAGGGGTTATTTATTTCCCTGCCTGCTTTCTGCTCTTTTGGGGAAATTAGCTCCTCTTTCCTAAGAGCCGTTATTGGGTAATTCCTGTAGTTTTAACAATGTACTAATGTTTTCTGATTACAGCAGCAATCCATCAATGGGGCCTTTAAAGTTACATCTT